CACCTTCTTACGGTCGAGAATAGCCGTTAAGTTCTCACGTTGTAACGGTTAAGGATACCCGTATAAATCCTTGGGTAAAGGTTCAAGGATAGCCTTTGAAATCCTTGGGGGAAACGGTAGAAGATAACCGTTAAATCTTCATTGTAAACGGTTCGAGATAGCCGTGGTGAAATCTCTGAGTGAATCCTATTGGCAAGGGTTGTTTGCCAAACTAGTGCGGTGCTTTGACGGAGTTCAAGAGGCTGGAACTTAGTGGATTCGAAAATCCTTGAGGAGGAGCCTCGAGGTACTGGAGTAGGGAGTTCCTGAACCAGTATAAAATTGGTGTGCATTTTATTTACGCTTTTATTTCTGCATTTTATATATTGCTTCCGCATTTGCCAACATCGTTTTTATCAAACTCCGAAAAGATTTTCAAACGCCATATTCACCCCCCTCTAAGGCGTGAGCAAAACGACTAAACCGACTAACATATAAAATGTGAAGTAAGGCAAATTCTTCCGTGGACTTAAGGTACAAGTTCATTTTATGGACATCAGTATATTTGTCATAACATAAAAGAAGTGGACTTTTTACAAAAAAAATCACATGCAAGCCAATAAAAATGTGAGAAGGTTCACATTTTAAATATAGACCTTGATACATATGAACATCAATTTTATTATAAACCTATATAAATTCTCGCAATAATAAAGATAATTATCTAGTTGAACTTCTCTATGGGCTTGATTGGCAGGAAGTCTACTTTTCGAGGTCATGGAAAAATTTATTTACGTACGAGCCCTAACAAAAGTGGAGGTATAAGGTTGAGAATAGAGCTGGGTTGGTCGGGTTAGATTCAGGTTCGATCGCCTTGGGTTCAGGTTATTTCGGGTTCGGGTAAATTTGGGTTCGGATTGAGAACTACATGTTCATTACCCAATGTCATCGAGTTTGGGTTGACCCAACGAGTTATGACTTTCATTTATTTTTTGAAATTTGAAGTAATTTTTTGACATATTGTCTATATTACGAATAAAAAATTTAAATATGCAAAAATTTTTTAAAAAAGCTAAGATAATCATTATTATTAAAAAATTTAAATATGCAGAAATTTTAGAAATTATTATTATTATTATTATTATTATTATTATTATTATTGAAGGGAGAGGCAAGTAATACGTACTCCCTCCGTCCCAGAAAGAATGCCACGTTTACTATTCTGGCCTCTCGATAACTTTTATTTGTTTACTCGTTTTGGTTGACCATTTGATAAAATAAAATATTCTTGTCGTATCTTGTTTTGTAAAACTTTTCATATACTTTTGAATGATATAATTTTTACTTTTTATTACTCTACAAATTTAAAATTAAAGTAATTTTAAAAGAGATGATATTTTACACGTCGTTCGAAGTGTTGTAAATAAATTGGGACAGAGGGAGTACTAATTAAGAGAACACATAAAAGTGTAAAAACGTGAAGTGGTGGTCCAAGAAAAGACAAACAAAAACCAAAACACAACAAAGAGTTTTTTAATAAAAAAAACTATAAAAACAGAACACGCCGCATAAAACAAATTGTCCACTACTATTTGCCGCCGTATAGAGACATTCGTAGTACGAACAAAGCGTCGATTAAAGAAGAAAAAAAGAAAAAATTTAGAAAGAGGATTAAATTTTTCCTCTTTAATTTGGAACAAATTAAAACTCAAATTACAAATTTACTTATACCTACAGTGTCATTAAAAATTTAATGAATTAAATTTAAGAATTAAAATGCAAATATTGAAAGGTATATTTAATTGATGGAAACCACTTTTTCAGGACGTGATCTGACGAACTTGGTATCGGGTGGGTACCACACCGAATTACGAAATCTGGTAACAATAAATAAATAAATAAATAAGGAAGAAAGTATTTATACGTAGAAAGTCAAATTGGGAGAAAACCCCAGACCTTTTTAGATTGTGTCATACCAAAGGGAGAAATTTTTATTAATTTCAGGAAAATTTACATACACATCATTGTAGGAGCTTGGAGCCATTAATGAAGCTTCAAACTTAAAGAAGAAGAAGAATGAAGAATAGTAGTATGAGCTTGTAGGAATTGGCCTCTCCCTAAGATCTCGTAAGAGAGGAATGGTCTTCCCTCTCTCTTGGGAATGATCTCCCATCTTAAAGGGAAGTTAGCATATCACATCGGACCCTCATCCATGTGATGGTTCTCATTCACGGTCCTACTCAATATTTATATATCACTTCAAATGTATTCTTCTGTCTATATATCTCTTGCTCCGTCTTGATCATTTCAAATATATATTCTTCTGTCTATATATACCCTCCAATCCCACGGTTAGTGAGATTACGTTTGCCTGCCTCATCATATCTTTCGATCTTCCCTGATGGGTTGGTTTGGCTCAGCCCATTACATTACTCAATACTTGGGCCCAGATCATTCTCCGTATAGATGGAACCGGGTCTCCCATCTAAGTTGGGTTTAGAGTAACATGCTTGAGCCTTTTCGGCCCGCTTTATGATCCGATATATCCCATCCATAGGATAGAGAGATTGGCCAAGGGAGCATTAATTTGTTCTAGCTTTTTAATTACTTCATGCATATTCTCATTCTTTAATTAACATAGAAATCCAAAAATTCTTCAAAGTGTCATCAGAAAATGGGAATATTAATTTGTGTGTTTATATTCCAATGATGATATGATTTGTGCAATGGGAAATGGATAAATATTCTTTACTTTGCAGAGAATGCTTCTGCCGCCCCACTTACCGCCGCTCAAGGCACGCCCTCAAAAATAAAGTCGTTTAATGTGTAGCAAGAAAAAAAATTAGAGAAAAGAAAATGAGAGAAAAGAAAATTAGAGGAGAGGAAATGAATAAAAAAATAAAGAGAAAAAAAAAATTAATGTTCAGATTGATAAAAATGATAAGAAAATTGAGAGAAAAGAATCATAAAATGAAATGAAAACAAAGAGAAAAGAAACGTACCCGGAGTAAAAGGTAAAGATCTTGTGATGGGAGGATGATGATGTCACTTTCTCACCAATGTTGGGGAGAAAAATTTCTAAATATGTATTTAATGGCAAATTGTTATGTGTGGTATTTGACCATATGTCGGTCATTAAAAAGAGTAAGGGGCTGTTTGTTTCAGCCTCTTAATGGTTCAGATGTCTGAATGGTTCAGTGCTTAATGGTTCAGACTGTTTGTTTCAGCATCTTAATGGTTCAGATGTCTGAATGGTTAAGAGATTTGCCTCTGAATGGTTAAGTATTATACAGAGTCTGAATGGTTAAGACCTCTTATCTGAATTGATCAAATATTTGTCTCTGAATAGTTAAGCAATATACTAGCTCTTAATGGTTCAGACCTCTTACTGGTTTAGCACTTAATGATTCAGACCTCTTACTGGTTCAGCACTTACCTATTCAAAAGTTGTCAAACAGCCCCTAAGAATGTTTACATTGAAATGTGAACTTTAGAATTATGGAAGACACAAGTGTACATCTTGTATTTAATAATGGTGCGTAATTAAAAGTTACAAGTACAATCCAATTTAACTAAAAATTGGTAAGCTATGAACTTAAAAATAAAAAATTACATATCTTAAAATTATACAAAAACAAATCACAAAATGAGAAGTGACATAATTATATTATGTTATGAAATGAAAATAGCAAATATAGTAGAAAAGTTTAATCCTATAAATAATTAACGAAAAAATAAACTATGAAGGAGGGCGTATAAGGAATGTTATTTTTGCAGTAAGTCTAACAATATTAACGTTTTTCAATTAGATAACTTTGTACTCCTATCATAGGATTAAAATTATTTTAAGAAAAATAAATAAGTTAGTTTATATTTTAAACTTGTAATATAACTTTTTATCATTTTTAATTTATTGGTCCTACTATTTTTGCATCATTCTATATTTGACTACATTTTTGTGATTTTCCTTTATCCTTATTTTATTTTATTTTTTAACCACAATAACAATCATCAATTTTATTTTTCTTAATTTTCCTGACATTCCTCACTTTAGAATGGTGGGACGACGCATGATTGAATATGCTTTACTCACTACAAATGATTGAAAACTTCACGCAAATAAAAAACATACTCCCTCCGTCCCATAAAATCTTTCTCCTTTTTTTTCATTCGTCCCAAAAAACACTTCTAATTTTTATTAAAAAATCACTTTCAAATTCAAAACTCCCATGTTTTTTCGGGACGGGAGGAGTATTTAAAGTTAGGACAAATTAATCCCTACGTAGATAGTAAAAAAAATTACATCGACTAAAAAATAAATTGATATCTTACTATATACAATGCTAAGAGGGCATTGTGAACAGTGTTCCCGCTCTTTTTATTGCTACAGTATGGGCCAGCTGGGCTGCGTTGTATTGGGCCGAAAATGAGTCCAGATTTGACAGCTATTTTTAGGTTCTACTCTATGCTAGGTGTGAGGCTCCATAAAGTAAACAATTCATGCTTTATTGAGCCACGTGATACATTAGGTTTAAACCACACTTTACATCAAATCAAAAACTTAAATAGATCTGCATAATCTAAGCATTTAATGTGCTTTCAATTACTTGATTCAAAAAGCCATTATATATTCACTATGCCTCAATACTTTTGAATTCCACCGTATAAACACACCAATTCCTTCTTCCACCATATTTGAGTTCTTTTGCTTCCTTGGGATGGCCGAAAATTCTCAAAGAAATTCTAGGACAATGTTTACCCCAATTTCCGAGCTTGACAATACCCGTACAACTTGGATTCTCAAGTTAAGGGCTATTCTTGTCTACTTTGTTCCAAGGTGGGCGAGAGGCGGTGATTCTATGGAGATTGTCTTTCACGATGAACATGTATTGTATTCACGAACTTATTACATTTTTTTTCAATTGCATAACTTACATTGTATCACTCAAATACTCATAATATCTATCTTTTCTACATGGAACAAGGATTCTTGCACATCTCAACCGCCCGGAAAAAAAGAAGTTTGAAAACCAAATCACCGAGGATGGTGTTTATGCCATTCGAAATGTGCATGTTCACGACAACTATCAAAATTTGAAAACAACCGCAAATGATAAGCTCTTGGGTTTTTTCAGAGATACTAAAGTGAAAACCTTGAATTGGAGTGATTTTCCACGGATCATGTTTGATATAAAACCATTTCCAGTTCTCCAAAGCCAACCATGTTTGAATGATCAAGTTTTGATTGGTATTATTTCATTAAGAAAAGTTTTAAAACTTCTTCATTTCTTTTTTAAAGGTTAAGCATCTTTATTTCTTTAAAATTTGTACAAATGAAACGATAAATGAATGTGCCACCACACGTTTTTTTTTAAAAATTTGTGCCCTTCGAAAATTTGTTCAGTTTTTTAAATAGTTTCATACATATGAAAATTTATAATAAGCCCCCGAGCACCGTTTTTTTAAATCTGTGCAGAACACAAAATATTTTCCTTCTTCTCAACAATTTTTAAAATATCTTGGCAGTTTGCACTAAAAACAATTCCAACACATATTATAAAATATGTCTCAACATCTTTATGTCAAAAACAGTTTTAAGATCAATCATACAAATGTCTAATATTAAGAGCTATATTTATGCAGATGTGATTGGAAAGATTGTTGCCCGAACTAAGGTTCAGACAAACATTACTAGAGCCGGAGAACAAAAATTCATGGAAGTCACACTTGAGGATCATGAATATGAATATAGATAAGAGAATAATGTCATTTATTGAAAAATAATTTATTCAGACTTGAGCAATGAAATGATATTATAGGGGAAATCGATTGGGATGCACTCTATGGGGAGAGTATGTGGATCGTCTTTTGGGTTGTTTCACCCAAGATGCTCGAGAACCGGTGATCATGTTGTTGAGCTTTTGTAAACCACGGCGTTATATGGGTAGATTATTTCTTCTATTTTGTGATTTAACTACTTTAATGACGGATATATAACATTTACATTGTATGTTTATAGGTACTGTGACCGTCTCTTCTGCTTTTCATGTTACGAAGATGCTTTTCGATGGTAACTCTCTAAAGGTCAACGAATTCAGAGCAAGGTATATTTTTAAAATATAAATACATAATTAATTTTATAGGATGATTTTACCTCCTCATCTAAATTTTTTTTGTATCCAGGTTGCCTCTACAAGTGGATGACATTGGAACAATTGGAAGTATCATTCTAAGCGCTGGAGCTGATGGGGATGAAGGTGTTATCAAGACTACCATGATCAAAGCTCTCTTGGACACTACAAAGGTGACGTGTTAAAAATTCTAAATTTAATGTTCAAAAGTTTTATATAAAAGTCTTAAACATTTTTGTTTGATGTTTTATAGCCCGGTCCCTACTGGATTGTTAGTAAGATTGCTTCAATAAATGATTCGGGCGACTGGTGCTATTTGGGATGCACCGACTGCAACAAAAAGGTCATCCCTGGTGGTGATAAGTTTAGGTGTTCGAGGTGCAACACTACCATGCTGCATGGAGTGTACAGGTAAGCATCATTTAAAAATAATTACAATTTTATAAATTGTAAGGTAATTAGTACTGAAACTTAAAAATATCAATACATTGTGTCTTAGATTCAAGGTCAATGTTCGGGTCTATAATTCCACCGGTCATGCTTCCTTCATCCTTTGGGATAGGGAGTGCAAGGAAATTTTGGGTGCAAGTGCTTTTGTGCTCAGGGAAATTATGCTTGAGGTTTGAAATAAAGCAGTATTCTTTTATTATTTTATTACTTAGTCGTCACTATAAACAATAGCCAAATAACTCTAACTTATTTGTTATTCTTCTCTTTTCCAGAAAAATGTGGACCCAAATTTCCTTCCGAAAGAGCTTAATCGTCTTCTAGGTGTACGTGGGTTGTTTCATGTCGTTTTGAAAGCCGAAATTGGGAGTCCATACTGGACTGGACCAAGAGCCTTTGGAGTTAGATTGTTGGTCACGAATGCAATGATAATGAGCAGATTTGAAGAGTTGATTCAGTGTGAAGAGGAAGGATTTGATGAAGAAAGTGAGGGCCTGTGGGCATCTCTTGAAGATTTAAGTGAGAAGATTCATGAAGTGGTATATTACGTATTCGATATATCCAAGCAAAAGATTTTTTACATTTGTTAAACATTACTTAATTTGATTAAATTTTTTTAGATTGCCTCGAATGACCCCAGCTCTAGCCAAAGTGTGAACCAGAAGCATAAAAGGATTGATGACCTGGACAAGACTGACTCGGTGAAAAGAGAGCTTTTTGATGACATTTCAACAACTCAATGCAAGAAAAGCAAGAAGGATAGTCCAAGCCAGTGAACATCGATCAAATGTTATGTGTTTATTTTATATGAACCGCCTCTGTTTTTGGCTGTTTTTTTTGTATTTCGTTGGTGGTCTAATTTTCCTAGGCGTCGTCCTAGAGTACTTAAAATGTTTGTTTCTGTGAACCGCCTTTGTTTTTGTTTTGTTATTTCGTAGGTGATCAACTTTTCCTAGGCGACATCCTAGAGTACTTTAAATGTTTGTTTCTTCGTGTTAATGTTAGTGGCGCCATTTCATGAATTTTGTTATTTGATTTACGGTGAAGTTTCTATTTTCTACTTTACGTTTAAGTTTATATTTTCTACTTTACCTATGCATCGTTGAGAACGGTAGGAAATAGTATATTTCTATATTTGCATAATCGTACGTGAAACTTTCATTTGGAAACTTATATATAATAAATTTGTGACAGATTATTGATCAAGAATGAAAATGTCATACATGTACTGTATAGATAAAATATTCCTTAACTTTAATTATTCAATTTATATAGGCAAATATACATTTTTTATACATTCATAAAAAACCCAGTGACATACGGTTTGAGTTTATTTTGAAAGGATTCAATGTTTTTCATAATTTAAATTATTTAAAAGTTGTTTTTAGTAAACGACATTTGAAATGTCATGGAATATGAAATACAGTTGTTTTTAGGAAATAACATCAATAGAATATGAAAATGTATACTTTCATCAAAATGTTAATTCATTCCCTATTTTTCGTGTTTAATTAATATTTATCAAGGCCAATTATTAAACATAAAGTTAAAATATTATTTAACTTAAAACTAAAATAAAATATATTTTGATTAAAATATATATTTAATTACGATAAAATATTTTTGGGCAGCATATATATCAATTTAATTATTGATTATATATCCACACATGAAGTGAATTAATATAACTTCGTAATAAGTGTTCTTATTTAATGTGAGTGTACATCTAAGTGATGATGAAGATATGCAAAGAGACCAGAAAATCTAAGTGTGTGTGGCCCAAGGTATGGGTGGCGTCCAAAACTTAGTGTGGTGCCATAAATGTGGTAATTATCACATCTTATTTAGAATAAAAATATTAAGCCTGGAGAATGAGATGGTTAATTCTAAAAAACAATATACATTGTAGTCATCTATTGTTAATTTAACATAAAGTAAAAATAATATTTTTACTTTAAAATAAATGTGGTAATTATCACATCTTATTTAAAATAAAAAATTTATTGCTAAGAAATAAAGTTGGGTGCGGTCTAAAATGTGTTGAGTTAACCAAACGCGCCTAGCCGATTCATGGCATTTAATGTGATGCACATGCTTCATTTAATGTGGTGCAGGACTTTCATTGTTCAACTAATACTTAATTCTTTGCTTTTATAAACACACTTTTCTTAAAATTTAATTATATGAGAATTAATGGGAATTTTTTAATTTAATTATTCAATTTAAATATGCTAATCTACACGATATCAAATTATCGTGTAATGAATAACAAAAATTATACTTTAATCAAAGTATTAATATATTCCAAAAAGCGTGCATGTTGCAATTTAAAAAAAGTAATTAAAAAAGTTATTTTTTCTTTAAAATAATTAAACAAAAAAATTTATTTTTTATCTGATAATTAAAAAAAATTTATTTTTTATCTGATAACAAGTACTGATGACTTCGTAAAAAGTGTTACGCAGTATCATTTAATGTGAGAGTACATCTATTCCTACTAAGCATTTTTGACAACTTCATTAATGATGAAGATATTTAAATAAACAAGAAAATCTAAGTGGGTGGCCGAAGGAGAATGTGGCGTGCGAGTGTGACTGTGCTGCCCAAGGTGCAATAAATGTGGTAATTATCACATCTTTTTAAAAATAAAAAATAGGCTGAAACTAGAGATGTGTGCCGTCTAGAGACTTATGAGTTAACCAAATCCGTTCTTCTAAATGTCAGTTATTATACAAACATATATCAAGAAAAAGTCATTTTATAAAACCCACCTAGAGCCACACGCCTCTAATGATAGCCTTTACATTTATAAACACAATATTCTTAAAATTTAATTATGTGAGGATTAATTCGAATTGTGAGGTTCAAAGTGATTGTATTTTGTAGATATTTCATATTAAAAATAATAAAAACTCTTTAAGAGTTACCGTATAATAAATATAAAAAAAATTATTCTTTAATCAAAATATTAATACATTCCAAGATGCTTGCATACTCCAATTACAATAAGTTCCTTTTTTTTTAAAAATAAAATTATCTATAAAAAATATAGATATTTATTTTTTTGTGTATATAGAAGACATTGTGTGTTTAAAGAATTTATATCTGATAAAAACTTCAAAATTAATATTTAAAAAATACGAGTGACCCAATCCATTATTTAATGCATCTTACAAAGCCCAATATGTAATTTATGTGATATCAATCAAAGCCCATATTTCATAAACCCTGAAAAGCCCAGGTCTGATATCTTTCAAAGCCCATGAAATCATAACTATAAACTTTTTAATTTATAAAATTAAATTAAAAACTATATGAAGCATTCAAATATTAATAAGTATATATTTTGGTCAAAAATGTTTATATTCATTTATAAAAATAATGATGTTATAATTATTTTACTGATTAAATTAATACACACACACACACCCACATTTTATTAGGATGTGCAGTAATTAATACATCATTCCTCTTTGAGCCACTCACCTATTCTAATAATAGGGTTTAGTTTCATGCAATTAATGCATTATAAGGCATGCCAACTATATTAGTCTTTCCCTCTAACTTACACATTTATTACTCTATCTCCCAACCAAACTCCTCTTTGAAGTTGATTTTGAGCATTCAAAGCAAGCATTAAATTCTTCCTTTCTAAATTAAGTAAATCACATCCACGTAATTTAAATTGTTCTTAATATAACAAGCATGTTATTGAAGCTAAGTATTATTGTTAATGTTCGAAAAATATTTTTTTAGTAAATTACACAAAAAAAGCCATGGACTGAATAAGCTACCAAAATTGAATTTATGTTTTTAAAAACCCACACACTAAGAGATTCTATGCATGTGGGTTTAGTAACTCGAATCATATTAAAAAACGATTTCACTTTTAAAACTGAAATTTCTAATAATACACACCAAAGAACATGCATGTGGGGGTGAAGATCTAAACATTTAACAAAAAAGAAGAAGGGAAAATAAACGGATCTAAAATTTCATAATAATCTATGAAAATAGGGAGTAATTGGTCATGAAGAAATTTTCATGCAATAATAAAGAATAATTTTCTCAGAGATTACCCCATATTTGAATTAACATGCCGTCGTTTAAGGACCAGAGATTCAAATCGCCGACGTTTCCCTCAAAAAATATATATGTGGTATCCTTTTCTAGATAGGTGTGGTGAGGCGTAGGAGACGATGGAAAATAATAATCGCCGGCAACTGGAGTACTGTAAACTCCATTGCCGGCGATTGAAACTTTTCTAGAGAGATGAGGGTCGGCATAGGAGACGGCGGAATATCGGGCAGAGTGCGGTTTGATAGGTTTACCCAAATATAAACCTAAGTTGGGCCAGGGCTGGTTTTTGGGCTGTGGGTTTTTTTAAAATGTTTGATAAGGCTTTTTTAAACATTAAATTTTAAAATTGGGCCTAAACAGTGGGCTGATAAATTACACTTTGGCCAAATTAGTAAATAAATGGTTGTGGTATGTCAAGAAAATTCCTTATATTTTATTAATAAATAGAGTTTTTTATTTACATATAATGGAGATGTGTTGGATTTGCAAAAATTCACCAACTTATTTCATTTTTTTCCATATGTGAAGAAAAGTTTTTATCTTTTATTTATAAATGAAATTTTTTATTTACATATAGAGGAGGAATTGGAAGTTTAATTGAACCATGTTACAAGTGCAAGAGTAACGAAGATTCACTCGATATGGAAATGTGTTGGATTTGCTTTTCTGTTTCTGGTCATCTTCGCTGCCTACAAATTGGTGATGTTGGATGGAGTTTATATTTTATTTGTGATGTCTGTGTCGTTTTGTCACCTCCACCAACAACTTCACTTCCAATGTTGACTACACCAATTCCGCCGCCTTTGCCACTTTTGGTTCCTGTACCGCCGACGATGGAAGTGACACCTACACCGCCTACATTGAGAAGATCTAAACGTCTTAAAATAGCAAATAAAAAATATTTTAATGAGACGTATGTTACTTATTGAAAGACAAATTATGTATTGGATTATGATCGGTGATTTTGTTTTTTGTACTAATTTCCGTGTTAGCTACCCTTAAACTCTCTATTATGTTCTTCAATGAATGTATAATGATCTAATTATTGTATGATGTATGTCACTGTTATTGACGTCAATGAATGTATTTCAAGATATAATCTTGCAATGCCTATTTTATATATATATATATATATATATATATATATATATATATATATATATATATATATATATATATATATTGCTGATTTTGGAATGACTTTTATTTGTGTTACAAATATCTTATATTCACTTATTAATATAAGATTTTGGTAAGTCGCTTCAAGTACTTGACTATTTTATATTTCTATTATAATTACCTACATAGAAAATGTAACAAGTAGCCCTTTCAGAGATAGATCCAGATCTTTGCAAAGAGACTCGAATATCTATACTCCATCCCCTCTTAGCAACATAACAAGTGGTATATATTTCTATTCCATCTTAGTTGTTATACATGAGCTAAATATTAATTTTTTATTAAACATATCCGTTCATTTTGTTTTAATAACAGTAAGAGTTTGTACACCGTTTGATCGCTTCTCTTTGCCTTCGCCGAGCTCTATTAATGCATCCAGTGAGGTTGTACGTAACCATGATAACCTTAGTCTACCTCAAAGTTGTATTACACAAAGAAAAGTGTGTTCTATAAGAAAACGGCCATTTGACGTAGGTACGTTTCATTTTGCCTTTGAAATCGTATCTTTATTATTTTAAGAACATTAAATGTTAGATACTATTCATATCTTTCAAATATTATATTATATGCCTATTACAATGCACAGCGAATGAAGAGATCAATACTCCTTTACCTCAAACTGCTTTCATAAACGACTTTGTTACACAATCTTGGGCGGTAGATTCAGATTTGCGTCGTGATAATAACAATATGATTCATGAAGAAATTGTTCGAGATTTGG